GGCGGGAGCCGGGGGGGTCAGTCCTGAGTCCAGGGACGGGGGAGGCAGAACCGGGAGGCTCCCGGCCCAGGGATGCAGGAGCCTGGTGGTGGGGGGGACATTCCCAGCTCCCGGATACAGGAGCAGCCCCTGGCCACAGATTGGGGGGAGCCCAGGGTGCTGGGTCTGGGGGCATCACCCTGCAGGGCTGTCCCCCCCCCCCGGGCACGGGAGCTCCAGCTGTGGGGCTGCCCGGGTGCTTTGGGATGCTGGCCCTGCAGCCCCTCACTTGTTTACAGGGATGGGGCTGCTGGGGAGAGGGCAGCCCCAGGGGCCTGGGTGTCAGTGCTGTGGCGGGTGCAGCGACTCCCACGCACGTCCCCAAGTGCCACCCCAGGCAGCTCTGCCAGCTCCTGGTGGTGACACGCGGCTCCGGGCGCTTTGGGAGGTGCCTGCCTCGGGCATCTCCACGAGGCCCTTGTGGTGACGCCCGCTGCGGGCGATCTGGGGTGACACGTGGCTCCCACAGCCCCACGGTGCCTCCCAGCCCCAGGCTGCTGCCAGAGCCCCGGGGGGGTCAGGCGCCAGCGCCAGCCCTGCAGCTCCCAACCCGCCGCAGGGGCTGCCCATCCTGCCCCACGGCCCAGGCTGCCTGTCCTGCCCCACGGCCCAGGCTGCCCGTCCTGTCCCCACGGCCGGGCCACGTCCCTGAGCCCCGCCATCTGCTCACCCCGCCACCAAGGCAGCTCTGCGACGTGTGACCCCGCGGGGTCCCCTGCCCACCCACAGTGCTGGCGCCCATGGGCACCCACCACTGTCCTGCACTCAGCTGGAGGGGTGGGATGAGGACGGATGGGGATGTGGGTGGAYGGGGACAGGGATGGGGATGTGGGTGGATGTGATCCCCATGCCATAGGCTGCGTGTCCGGGGGCTACAGGCCCTATGCATCCTGCTCATGGGGGCCAGGTACCACGTCCCCAACACTGGTCGGCACAGGGGGGGCTGCACCCCGAAACCCCKTGCATATCCCATGGCTCCCTGCCATCCCCTCAGTCTCCCGGCAGCGTGGGCGCCTGCTGTGCAGGCACCTGGGTGCCCRCACCCCCCGCTCCCTGGCCTGCTCTGGTGCCGGTGCCACATGTGCTGGATCTGGAGCCCTGCCGGCCGCACTGCCCCCCTGCAGGGCCAGCAGGGCCCCCAGTGCCCCCCCGCCCGCACGGCCCCGGGGCTGGGAGCCGGGGACGCGGTTTGGCCGCGTGGCCGCTGGCTTGGGCTGCGGCCAGGTCGGGCCTTTGTCTGAGAGCAGCCCGGCCTGGGACGGTGCCACCCGGCCGCTCCGGCTGCTGTGACCTCGCGGGGACAGCGCGGTCATGGGGCGGCGCTGGCCGTGGGGCCGGGCCCGGGCAGCGGGGCCCGTGCGGCACCGGGAGCAGCCGTGCTGGGGGCTGGGCAGGAGACTCCTGCTACAGCCATGGCTGGGAAAGGCAGGTTTCCAGGGAAAATCAGCATATTCCCGGAGAAAAACGGCAGCTGCCATGGGCATATCTGCAGCTTCCCAGAGCGCATCTGCACATTCCCGGAGCAAATTTGCAGCTCCCCAGAACAAGCAGCAGCTGCCCAGCATGGGTCGCGTGGCAGCTCTGGTACCAGTCCMGCTGGGCTGCCGTGCCTCCTGTGGCCCTGCAGAGTTGGATCCCRTGCGGGTCGGTCCGGCCGCGGCAGGTCCCGGCTCCGGGGCAGTGCGGGATGCAGGGAAGCGGCCTGCTCCGG